AGCCTGCTTCTCCTTCTCCTGCTTCCCCTGCTTGTGTTCCTTCTCTCACTGTCTTGATGTCAAATAAAATGTTTTTTTAAAAAACCCACAAACTTGTTTTGTGGCTCAACATACTCTATACTGGAGAACGATCCAGGTGTATGTGAGAATGTGTTTTCTGATACTATTGGATGCAGTGTTGGAAGTCTGTCTGCTTCGTATCATTGAAGTCTGATGTCCCCTTATTTTCTGTCTGGATACATCTACCCATACTAAAGGCATAGTATTGAAGTCCCCTTCTAATGTATTGCTGTGTCTTCCATTATTCTTGTCTGTTAATAGTTGTTTTATGTGTTAAGCGCTTTTATGTTGCATACACAAATAATTATAAAAGTTCTATCTGTTCACACGAATAATTATAAAAGTTCTGTTTATTGAATTGACCTTTTTTTATTTTTTGTAAGGAATAACAGATTATATATATTTGAAAAAGTACAAAAGATTACTATAGATCAAACAAAATTTTTTTAAAAAGATTTTATTTATTTATTTGACAGAGAGATACAGAGAGAACACACAGAAGCAGAATGGCAGCCAGAGGGAGAGGGAGAAACAGACTCTCTGCTGAGCAGGGAGTCTGGCATGGGGCTCGATTCTAGGACCCTGGGATAATGACCTGAGCCTAAGGCAGCCGCTTACCAAACTAAGCCACCCAGGTACCCCACAAAATAAGTTTTTAAAAGTAAGTGACTGTTGGGGCGCCTGGGTGGCTCAGTGGGTTAAAGCCTCTGCCTTCGGCTCGGGTCATGGTCTCGGAATCCTGGGATCGAGCCCCGCATCGGGTTCTCTGCTCAGGAGGGAGCCTGCTTCTTCCTCTCTCTCTGCCTGCCTCTCTGCCTACTTGTGGTTTCTGTCTGTCAAGTAAATAAATAAAATCTTAAAAAAAAAAAAAAAAAAAAAAAAGTAAGTGACTGCTATGTATCCAAATTTGAAAGAATAAACACAACAATCCAATGCATGAAATGATGATTATTAGTTCAAGGAAAAGAAAGCAATAAAAAATGTCTTCTCAATACAGACACTACATGAATAGACAAACCTACAGCTTTAAAGTAATACAAATTGTTAAGTACATGTGTTAGCTACCTTTCTCCAACATTAAAGTAAATGTTTGCTATTCAGTAAATGCATGTATAACATATACAACTGTTAACCATATGTAAGCCATACTAAAGACATTGAACCAACTAGAATGTAAGGGTTTTCTAATGGGAAGATGTACATTTCAAGAAAAAAAAAAAAAACACCCAGCATGAACTAAATCCACTATCACAGCTAAAGCAAAGGTGACCTGTACAGAGCTTATCATTTGCAACTGTATATAAAGAAATAATACCCGGGTGCCTGGGTGGCTCAGTGGGTTAAGCCTCTGCCTTTGGCTCGGGTCATGATCCCAGGGTCCTGGGATCGAGTCCTGCATTGGGCTCTCTGCTCGGCAGGGAGCCTGCTTCCTGCTCTCTCTCTCTCTCTCTCTCTCTCTCTGCCTACTTGTGATCTCTGTCAAGTAAATAAATAAAATCTTAAAAAAAAAAGAAAGAATACCCATAATAATAATAATAATAATACCAATACCCAAAAATAATACCAGAAATCTTACTGAAGAGCATTATGGTAACCTACCTAAAAGTACAAGTCATTTATTTAGGGATTTTAAATAGCAGGTAACAGGGATGGCTCAGTTGGTTAAGTGTCTGCCATCAGCTCAGGTCATGATCACAGGGTCCTAGGATCAAACCCTGTGTGGGGCTCCCTGTGCTCCTTCTGCTCCTGCTCACTCTGTCAAAAAAACACAAAAAAAAACACAAAAAAACCAAAAAACTTCAAATAGCACGTATCAATGTAAATTAAATAACACATGAAAAAATATGCAAAGTATACTAGCAGGAGGTTAGATAACTGAATACTGTGGAAAAGATTAGCCTCTATAAGATAGTTTTGATCAATTATTGGCTACTTACTATAGTAAGTTGCTAAGATTTTCAGTGCAACCATATTTTTCCACACACATGAAAATCTGACAGCAGTAGGTTTTCTCAAATTGTTATTCAGTGTTTTTCTTCCCCCAACCCTCAAAACACAGAAGAAGGTTTTTGAAAATCAACTACTTGTTTAGGAAACTCCTAACATATCAATGTTCATATACCTTCACAAGCTACAATTAAGGTACCTAGACAAATGCCAACATTTATGGAAAACGGTACTGGTTTTGAAACAGTAAAGTATGGGGCACTGGGTTAAGCCTCTGCCATCTGCTCAGGTCAGGATCTTAGGGTCGGGGCACCTGGGTGGCTCAGTGGGTTAAGCCTCTGCCTTCGGCTCAGGTCATGATCTCAGGGTCCTGGGATCGAGCCCCGCATCGGGCTCTCTGCTCAGCAGTGAGCCTGCTTCCCCCTCTCTCTGCCTGCCTCTCTGCCTACTTGTGCTCATTCTCTCTCTCTGTCAAATTAAAAAAAAAAAAATCTTTAATTAAAAAAAAAAAAAGGATCTTAGGGTCCTAGGATCCAGCCCCACAACTGGCTCTCCACTCAGCAGGGATCCTGTTTACCCATCTCCCTGCCTGCCTCTCTGCCTATTTGTGATCTCTCTCACTGTCAAATAAGTAAAATCTCTAAAAAGAGGAAAGTATTACACAACTTATGTAACCATACTATTCCTTCCTTCCAAAACCAAAACAATGGGGGAAATCTTTTTTTCTGCCAAAAGCCACATAATTAAAAACACAAAATGAGCCCATTATGTTAAATGAGCTTCCCATAAAACACGCGTGTTTTACTACCCTCTCTGACTTAAAGTTTACATTAACTATTGTAAGCAGAGCTAACCTGCTTTCTTTTCGTTTCCACCTGCATGAAATATTCTTTTCCACGACTGCATTTTCAGTCAGAGTAGGTGTTTTTTTTTTTTTTTTTGAGATTTTATTTATTTGTCAGAGAGAGAGAGAGAGAGAGACAGACAGTGCAGGCGAGCACAGGCAGAGGCAGAGGGAGAAGCAGGCTTCCTGCCAAGCTAGGATCCCGATGTGGGACTCGATCCCAGGACACTGGGATCATGACCTGAGCCAAAGGCAGCTGCTTAATCAACTGAGCCACCCAGGCGCCCCCAGTCAGAGTGTTCTTAAAGCTGAAGTGATTCTCTTGAAGACTGATACAGTTGGGTCTTGCGTTTCCTTCTATTCAGGCAGTCTGTATCTTTGGACTCAAGAATTTAGGCCCTTTATATTTAAGGCAAGTATCAGTACAAGTATGAAGTTACTGTCGTCATTGTTTTCTGGCTGTTTAGAATTATTCATCACTTTCTTATTTATTAGCTATCGTTGTGATTTGATGATTCTAAATAAGATGATTCTCTTTATGTCTTGTGTATCTACTACATTATTTTCACTTTGGGATTACCATGAAGCTTAGAGAAGACATCTGATAGCAGTCTATTTTAACTTCTTACCAGCTTAGTTTTGCATACTTAAGCACTTTCAGGACTCCAGTAATTCTCTAAAAATGTGGATGTACAAGTGTATGTCATTTTATGGAAGTTAGCTCTTCTCTGATATCTATCAGAATTTCTTCATTTCAACCCCATCAACTTATACTCTCTAACAATTACTATTGTGAAGATATTTCAGTAGTTTATTACTGGACTGACATCTTGTTTTCATTAAAAAGACCAATTAGTAAAGCATTTAATTGGTGACGGTCACTTTTTTTTTTTTTTTTTAGTTTTAACAAATGGAGAATGATGTTCTGAACACCTACCTCATGATGACCTATATCAATGTTATAACCACAAGAGGAATATTCATTTAGATTTTTCTTATATATGTTACACAGTCCTTCATCTTCCACGGAAAATTACATATGCATAAGTCCCACCTAAAGAAGAAGGGCATCTCATATCCCTGATGCAACAACGATGACCCACATACTTTCACACACTCACTAGGAATAAATGAATTTTCTGAAGAGTTCTCAGAGTAGAAGCATATGAGTAATTGCAAGTCACAAATCTCATATAGCGTCAATGGAAACACAAACACACTGAAATAATATCCATGTGAAAATCCCTTCTATCTTTTGAAGCATAATAGAACATACGTTATCTAACTAACTTTGCATTAAGATTTTTTTGATATAATCTACAAAGAGAGTGACTGGTGTACTGCTCTGTTCTGGAAACTCTATGACATTTATTGGCATTTGATGTTCAACTAAATACATTTCTATGGACTTTTATCTGTCAAGTTCCTTTTCTTCTCTGAACTCTCTGATGTTTCCTAAACTGTAAGAGACAGTCTTTCCTCATTCATTATGTTTGTAGAGTTTGACCCAAGACTGCATTTTGGGATACCGAGTGAGGACTGATTTTAGTTAAAGGCTTGGCCACTGTCTTTACATATTACAGTTTTGCACCTGGATGGTAACAATGATGTTGAGCAAGTTATGACGTCCAGCCAGAGGCCTGCCATGTTCTTTCCATTTCTAGTATTTCTCCTCAGTATGAACTCTGGGATGCTGACTTAAGTGTTGAGCAATCCAAAAGCTTTACCACATTCTTTACACTTACAAGGTTTCTCTCTACTATGAATTCTGTAATGCTGGGAGAGGCTTGAGCACTAGGAAAGGGTTTGCTGTATTTTTCTATGTGTAAAATCACCTCCACTATACATTCTTGGATAAGGAACGAGGGTTTAGCATTGCCTAAAGGTCTTGCCACATTCTTTTTGTGTGTATAATCACTCTCCAAAATGAATTCTCCGATGTGGAGTTAGAGTTCGGCAGTCCTCCCAAATTCTCTCAGTCTTCAAAACTGTTAGGACTAGTTCCAGGAGGAATTCTGTGATGTTGCGTAAGGTGTGACTGATGGATAAAGCCCTGGCCACATTCTTTACATTTCTAAGTTTTCTCTCCAGTATGACTTAAGTGTTGTACATGAAGGGATGCATGCCACTTAAAGGCCTTGCCACATACTTAACATCTGAAAGGTTTCTTACCAGAATGAATTCTCTGATGTCGAGTAAGGCCTGAATGGGACACAAATACCTTGCCACATTCTTGACATTGGTAAGGTTTCTCTCCAGTATGAATTCTGTGATGTTCAGTAAGGTGTGATATCTGCTTAAAGGCCTTGCCACATTCTTGACATTGGTAAGGTTTCTCTCCAGTATGAATTCTGTGATGTCGAGTAAGGTTGGCTACCTGCTTAAAGGCCTTGCTACATTCTACACATTTGTAAGGTTTCTCTCCAGTATGAACTCTGTAATGTGTAGTAAGGCCTGACTGATGGATAAAGGCCTTCCCACATTCCTGACATTGGTAAGGTTTCTCTCCAGTATGAATTCTGTGATGTTGAGTAAGGCTTGAGCTGTGGTTAAAGGCCTTGCCACATTCTTGACATTGGTAAGGTTTCTCTCCAGTATGAATTCTGTGATGTTGAGTAAGGCTTGAGCTATGGTTAAAGGCCTTGCCACATTCTTGACATTGGTAAGGTTTCTCTCCAGTATGAATTCTGTGATGTTCAGTAAGGTGTGACATCCGATTAAAGGTCTTGCCACATTCTTGACATTGGTAAGGTTTCTCTCCAGTATGAATTCTGTGATGTTCAGTAAGGCTTGAGCTGCGGTTAAAGGCCTTCCCACATTCTTGACATTGGTAAGGTTTCTCTCCAGTATGAATTCTGTGATGGTGAGTAAGGATCGATGGCAATTTAAAGTCTGTGCTGTATTCTTTACTTTTGTAAGGTTTCTCTACACTACAGATTGTCTTATGTATACGTGTTCCTGATGACTGACTAAACGTGTTCCCAGGCTTCTTATATCTGGATGGGTTTTTTCCCACATAAAGTTTTGGATGATCACCAGAACTGGAGGACTGGTTAAAATCTCTTTCACGTTCATTAGGATTCTCTCTTATATGCATACTGTTAGACAGAAGAATGGATCTTTGAGAAAAGTCTTCCCCACATTTAATAGGCTTGAAATGGTTCTTTGCAAAATGAGTCCTCAGATGTTTATTAACATTTGAGCCTGGATGAATTGTTTTCTCAGATTCACTGCCTTGACCAATTCCCTCTCCATGGAAAATGCTCTGGGAATTTTGAAGGGTTGAGTCTTTAGTGAAGGACCTCTCAAATGGATCCCACTTAGCAGTTGTTTCTCCATGTTGAAATCTCTGAAGTTTAGAAATATTTGAATGAAAGGTCAATCCAATCCTATTTTCAAAATTGTTCAAATCATTATTTTCAGCACAGGCTAGGTAACTTTCCAGATGTTCCACATTCTCCATCCTTAAATATGGACGTTTGAGTGTTTGAGTGGAACTCCTGCTGACAGAAACACCCTGCCTTGCAGAACTAATGGACTTAAAAAGGAAGGTGTTACCAAGTATTTTGTATCTTTCACTATCATAGGCAGTAGTCTCAATTTGGATATATCCTTTATGATCATTATCCCAGTCTATCATTAGGTGTAACTTCTCAAGGACAGTATGTTTATATCGACCCACTGACACATTTTGAAATGAAGCTTCTTTGCATGGCTCTGGCAGGAAGCTCAGGGTGCCCTGTGAAGATACAGCTGAAAGATATTGAAAAACAGAAAAGTAAATTCATCTAATTACTACTTTCAGATGAATATACTGAGGATGTCTTAACATAACAACCATAAAATCAATCAGAGAACATCAGCACGATGGCTGAGAAGGAAGCATCAGGACTTTGTTCCTCCGTGGACACATCAATTTGCACATAACATACTGACCACACAGCTTCATAGAAAAGTCTATAGTATTGTCAGGGTCTAACACAAATCACTCTCCTCTATATCAAATAATCATGAAAAGTAGCATTATATGAGCCCAAAATCAGCAGAAGGAAGGAATATTTTTGAAGACTTATGAGAGAGAGAGAGAGAGAGAGACAAAGAGGGAGAGCATGAGTGAGGTAAGGGCCAAAAGAAGAGGGGCAAGTCGATTCCTTGCTGAACAGGGAGCCTGAAACAGGATTCAGTCCCGGGACCCTGAGATCATGACCCGAGCTAAAGTCAAAGGCTTAAACACAAGCCATCCTGGCACCCATGGAAGAAAGGAAATTCAACATAAAACAGAAATGAAGAAAACAGAATTTAGCAAGTATAGGAAAGTATCAATAGGAGGATTTAGTTTTCAGGAAAAAAAGATCAAAATTGACAGATCTGTAACCAAATCAAGTTCAGATTGAAAGAGAAGACCAACTAAGATTGGAAGAAGCAGTGTGGTAGCTACTCAGACAAAAGGTTGACTATTTCTTCAAACAATGGACAGATGATAATCTGAAGGGAAACAGAGAGAGGAAGGTATCATGGGCTGTAAAGAAGTAACTGCACTTTGGTAACCTGGGAAATTACAAAAATTTAGACATGACAAATGTCCAGGTTATGTGTGAAAGATGCCATAATTACTATTGTCTGTGTTCTTTTCTACAAAGCAAGTTCAAAAACCTGGGCCCAGAGGCTTTTTTTTTTTTTTTTTTTAAATTCTGAAACGTCAACAGAAGATCACAAGGTGATAAAAAAAAAAATAGAAAAAATGTGTTCCCATCATGAGAACAAAATAAATCCCACAAACGAACCCTCAGTTAATAAAGAAATCTTACTTGCATGACAAAGAATTAACCATCATAAAGATGCACATAGAGAAAGGAAGAGAAACCAGGTATGTAACTCAATGAGATCAGAAAACGGGTCATGACCAAAATGTAAACCCAAGGAGACGAAGTAGAACAATCAGCCAAGCAGCAACAGGGAGTTAAAGAACACGATGACGGAAGTTAAAAACATACCAGTGGGTCACCCACAGACTTGCTCAAGCAGAAGAAAGAATCAGACAATCTAAAGACCCTTGCTTTGAAGATCAAAGAAGGATGTCGAAAAAGACATGGTCTGGGACTCGTTAGACACCGATAAGTGGACTGATATGTACATTAAGGGGACCCCATAAAGAGAGGAGAGTGAAAGGGGGCAGAGGGTTGACATGAAGAACTAAAGGCTTCTACTGCACACATAAGTGGAAAGAAGAGAAATCCAACCATCTCAGTAATTCATAGTACGATAAATGCCAAGAGAGGAACACAGTGACACATAATAGACCTATCAAAAATCAGATGTGAAGGGTACCTGTTTGGTTCAGGGGCTACCTTTGCCTCAGGTCAGGATCAAGCCCCACACAGGGCTACACCCACTCAGTGGTGAGCCTGTTTCTCCCTCTCCCTTGCCTGGCACTCCTCCTGCTTGTGTGTTCTCTCTCTCTCTCTCTCTGTCATACAAATAAATAAAACCTCTAAAAGAAAAAATCCGAGGTGACAAGAGAATTTTGCAAAAGCATGACAAAAACAACTCATCTTCTACAGGAGAGCTCCTGTAAGATTACTACTGCAATTGTCCGTGGACTGTGTAAGTAGAAGGGAGTGCGACCATGTATTCAAGTACACACAGAGGAAACAATCCACACTAATAATCGACCTGGCAGAACTGTTGTGCCTGTGTAAATGGAAGTTATGCCAAGTAAAAGACCCTCTGATTGACCAGCAGACCTGTCCCAAGAAAGGTGAAAGGAAGTCTTTATGCTTGAAATAAAAGGATTCCAGGGGTGCCTGCGTGGTTCAGTCACTAGGCATCTGCCTGTGGCTCAGGTCATGATCCCAGGGTCCTGGGATTGAGCCCCCTATCAGGGCCTGCTACTCCCTCTCCCACATCCCCAGCTTGTGTTCCCGCTCACTCTCTGTCAAATAAATCAATAAAGTCTTAAAAAAAAAAAAAAGAAAGGAAAGGATTCTAAAGAGTAACTGAAAGCACATGACAACCTAAAACTCCTGCTAATATAAATATTTACACAATTCTAGAAACCTGTAGTGCTGTAATGAGGTAGCACGGGTCACCTGTATTTCTGCTATAGAAGTTCTTAAACAAAAGCATAAAAGTCATAAATCGACCTAATTAACTACACAATAAAAAAGACAGAATTTCTGATAGTGGTAACATAAAGTAGGTTCGGGGTGGAGAATTTTAAGGAGAAAACTTTCCTATAAAATTGACAATATCCGTTTAAAATGGTTTGTTTATACCTCTAAGATGTTTTAAGGAACCTCAAAGGTAACCAGAATGAAAATACATACAGAAGACAGAAAAGTTAATGAGAACGGTGTCAAAGCGTATCAAGGGCATAACACCACAATTAAGATAAAATATAATATCTAGACAACATACAGAGGTATAAAAAAATGAAAGAATTACTTTTGATTCACCAAAAGTTCTTCTCATGCAAAGAGTATATGAATTCAGCAATAGAGATGTTGAAATTAATGCTAGTATTATAACAACTCATCTAGATATGCTGGAACATTCACAACCACCAGAAATACACAGGATGAGTTACGAACAACATATGGGTAATATTTACATAGATAAATACACACATAATGTTATTTGGAAAGGGCATAAGCCTGATTCATATTTGATTTACATTTCCATTGTTCAAAAGGGTTGAAAACTGTCATCCTATTAAAAAAATACATTAAAAATTAAAAAGACAAAAACCGAAACTAACTGATGTTTTGGAAAGTCCCATACAAAAGGAAGCACATTATTATGGAATATGCAAAACCAAAATAAGCCCAATTTTAACTAAAAAAATTCTACAGAAAAAATATATGAATGATTTTAAAGGAAACCTTCTATAGAACTATAATTTTAATTCTGTATATCCATAAAAAAGGCACTTTCAATTTTGGTATACATTCACTCACAGTAAAACTGTAAGGAATCTTCATTAAAATCAGTCATGAAGAGGTGTAATGAAAATATTATGAATAAGGATTTAAGTGACATCAAAAAAATGTAATCTGTTACTGATATACTCCTCTTCTTACACAGAATTTAAGGGTATAATCCATTCTTTAGAGCGAAGCAGAGAAGCAAATAACTTCCCTATCTAAATAAGCAAAGGCCATCAAAGTTGTAAAATATGCTGACAATCATTTTATAAAAACACTAGGGATTAAATCCAGATACATTTTGAGTAAAATAGTTCAAAAAAAAAAAAAAAGCCTTACGATTAATTTTCCCTGAAGTAAAATTCCATTTACGAACAGAACATTTTTTTCAATGTGGGAAATTTACTGTCTACATCACTTCTTGTAACCACATGCCTATGTCATATCAGGACTTTTGATCTAATATATAGAGATGAGTCTCATAGACAACTAATAAAATGAAAACATATGACAAAGTCACAGGAACCTCATATTATGAAACAAAATTATAAAATGATGCAATTACTAATAAGCTAAGAATTGAGACTTTACTGTAGGCTGTGGGTTCTAAAAGTTCTAAATCCCCTATAACAATAATTTATGTAGGAAATCTAGCAAACAAATAGGGACATTACATTAGTTCACCACTGAGGAATGGAACACATGAAGGGGAAACTTCTCCTATGTACAAAGAAAAATGAATGTTTGGAGTGAAATAAAGAATTACATTGTCTCATTTTACGGAAATGCTTTGTTACCTGATGAACTGACTGAGTCTCAGTTTTATATGTTTAAGATTAAAGCCTCCATAACATTGGAAAGCATAAGCCAGAAACCAGGTGGTGTCTATCTCCAGTGTTCTGGGAATTTCCGCACCAATCACCAGTATGCCCACTACAATGCGGGCACAGTTTCTCACACGAAGCAAAACAGAACGTAGAAGAGACTTAGCATAGAGATCCTCAGAAATAAGGAGATTTTCCCAAGACCCTCAAAGCAATGGAAGAGCTCTCAGATGATGGAGACCCTCCCAGTCCAAGGAGAGGCTCCTGGTCCTCCCTGTGGACATGATGGACCATCACTGGAGCTGAAGCAGAATCCTTAGAGAAAATAAAAGCATGATGATGTTGGCTCACAGATGTCCCTCTGGGAGAGACAGAGACATAAGACGGGGCTTCTCCAACTGATTTTCATTCAAGCAGAGCTACTGGAACCACATTTGAAGGTTTACCTTCCTCCTTCAGACTTGGACTTCACCTCTGTCATCCGCTTCATCCATTCCCACCTACCTGGATCAAAGACCACTGTCTTCTTTCTCTTTACATCCCAAGGGTCCTTCTTTTGCTCCAAAAAGGAGACCAAACCAGGCTTTGACACAATGAGACCTGTTTAACAGAGAAACCGAATACACATATTGCTGGAGAGTCTTTCAATCCACACTGCACTTAGCAGGGAAGAGAGAACATTGCAGAATTCTAAAAGATGATTTCCCAAACACTGTTGACCAGCAGCCCCTGTAGAACATGAAGGACTTTCAAAGAGTCACATCCTAGGGACGCCTGGGTGGCTCAGTTGGTTGAGTGGCTGCCTTCATATCAGGTCATGATCCCAGCGGCCTGGGATCAAGTCCCACATCGGGCTCCTTGCTTGGCAGGGAGCCTGCTTCTCCCTCTGCCTCTGCCTGTGCTCTCTCTCTCTCTCTCTCTGACAAATAAATAAATAAAATCTTTAAAAAAAAAATTCACATCCTAACTTGCGCTTTTAAGTACTGCCGATACAGTAATAAGGAGTGAAAATTGGAGTTTAAATGCAGGCAGTACTATTTTATGCTCCTCAAGGGTTTCAGCAACGCTGATCTATAGAAATGATGTTACCTGAAGGAACGGGAGGTTAAAGCTGAAAGGCAATTGTCAGGAGGATTTTTGTCTACACCTACCAATCATTACTTGTGTTCCTTAGTGCAGTGACCTGATCTCCAGTTATACAAGGAGGAATCATCCAAGAGACAGTCTTCAAAGGAGAATGAAACCCTGAGTGTGGTCTGGGAAATCTGAAAGGAGTCATTCTCACCCAGGAAGAGGAGGTGTCTGTAGTTCTCCAACATCATATCTCTGTACAGTTGCCGTTGAGTGTGGGTCAGGCGTCCCCACTCCTCCTCTGAGAATTCTATGGCCACATCCCTGAAGGTCAGCTGTCCCTGAAATAAATACCACAGTCACCAAGTGGCCATTGACACAGTTCACAATGGTCCAAAGATCAAAGAAGGAAAATTAGTGTCTCCAGCTAGACCCCAACACCTGACCTTTACTGCTTACCTCACTATAACCCACCAAACTTTATCCCACATTTGACTTAACCTTTTCTTTTCACCTTATCCCTTTTTTTAAACTTTTTAAAAATTTTTATTATTTTCTTAAAATTTCTTTTCAGTATTCCAAAATTCATTGTTTATGGACCACACCAGTGCTACATGCAATACGTGCATTCCTTAATAAACACCACCAGGCTCACCTAACTTCCCACCCCTTGCTCCTGCAAACCCTCAGATTGTTTTTCAGAGTCCACAGTCTCTCATGGTTCATCTCCCCCGCCAATTTCCCCCAACTGCTTTCTCTTCTCCATCTCCCCTTGTCCTCCATGCTATTTGTTATGCTCCACAAATAAGCGAAACTATATGATAACTGACTCTCTCTGCTTGACTTATTTCACTCAGCATAATCTCTTCCAGTCCCATCCATGTTGATATAAAAGTTGGGTATTCATCCTTTCTGATAGACGCGTAATACTTCATAGTATATATGGACCGCATCTTCCTTATCCATTCGTCCACTGAAGGGCGTCTTGGTTCTTTCCACAGTTTGGGGACTGTGGTCATTGCTGTTATAAACATTGGAGTACAGACGGCCCTTCTTTTCACTACATCTGTATCTCTGGGGTAAATACCCAGTAGTGCAATTGCAGGGTCATAGGGGAGTTCTATTTTTCATTTCTTAAGGAATCACCACACCATTTTCCAAAGTGGGTGCACCAATCTGCATTCCTACCAACAGTGTAAGAGGGTTCCCTTTTCTCCACATCCACTCCAACACTTGGCGTTTACTGTCATATTAATTTTGGCCATTCTAATTGGTGTAAGGTGGTATCTCAATGTGGTTTTGATTTGAATCTCTCTGATGGCTAGTGATGATGAACATTTTTTCATGTCTGTTAGGCATTTATATGTCTTCACTGGCAAAGTATCATAAAATCTATCTATGAAAAACCCAGAGTGATAGGGCACCTGGGTGGCTCAGTGGGTTAAGCCTCTGCCTTCAGCTCAGGTCATGATCTCAGGGTTCTGGGATCGAGCCCTCCATCAGGCTCTCTGCTCACTAAGGAGCCTGTTCCCACCCCCCATCCCCCGCTCTCTACCTACTTGTGATCTCTCTCTGTCAAATAAATAAATAAAATCTTAAAAAAAAAAAAACCAAAAAACAAACCCACAGCGAATATCTTCCTCAATGGGAAAAAGCTGACAGCCTTCTTTTTGAGATCAGGAACACCACAAGGATGCCCACTCTCACCACTCTTGTTCAACATAGTATTAGAAGTCCTAGTAATAGCAATCAGACAACAAAGAGAAATAAAAGGTATTCCAAATTGGCAATGAAGAAGTCAAACTCTCTCTCCACAGATGACGTGATACTTTATAGGGAAAACCCAAAAGACTCCACCCTCAGACTACTAGAACTCATTCAGCAATTCAGTAGTGTGGCAGGATACAAAATTGATGTACATAAATCAGTTGCTTTCTTATTCACTAACAATGAAAACAGAGAAAGGGAAATTCGAGAATTGATTCCATTTACTGTAGCACCAAGAACCATAAGATACCTGGGAATAAACCTAACCAAACAGGTAAAGGATCTGTACTCGAGGAACTATAGAAGACTCATGAAAGAAATTGAAGAAGACACAAAAAGATGGAAGACAATTCCATGCTCATGGATCATAAGGATAAACATTGTTAAAATGTCTATATTGCCTAAAGCAATCTGTACTTTCAATACCATTCTGATCAAAATTCCACCGGCATTTTGCAAAGAGCTGGAGCAAACAATCCTAAAATTTATATGGAATCAGAAAAGACCCCAAATTGTTAAGGAAATGCTGAAAAACAAAAAACAAAACTGGGGGCATCACGTTACCTGATGTCAAGCTTTACTACAAAGCTGTGATCACCAAGACAGCATGGTACTGGCATAAAAACAGACACATATGTTGTGGAAAATCTGAGGTGGCCAAGGAAACCCAAACAGCACACGGAGAGATGGGAGAATACAGCTTTATTAATGCCATCGGGCTCAGTGGGATCATTCCCAAAGACTGAGCACCTGACAGGTTTAGGAGTGAGTTTTTATGGTTACAGCCAATGGGGGATGGTCCGGGGTGTTTTCTCCCTCTCTGAAGGCCAGGGCACTTTCCCAGTCTCTCAAGGCCAAATGGCCCTTCCCTGTGGAAGTATAATCTGTGTGGAGGCATCTCAGGAGAGTCCTAAATCACCTTGGGGACTGTTTCTCTTTCTTTTCTTAAACAAACAGGACTGGGCAACTGGTTTTTTTCTTCAGTCTCAGTAGGAGCAATGACTTGTTATCTTATCTTAGTCAAACAGGATGGCTAGTGGTCCTTTTCTTGGCCTTAGCAGGAGCAAAGCGAAGCCAGGGACCAAAAGGGGTTGGAGCCAGGAGTCTCTATCCATCTCACACACACCAGTGGAACAGAGTACAGAGACCAGATATGGACCCTCAACTCTATGGTCAAATAATCTTCGACAAGGTAGGAAAAAATAGGCAGTCGAAAAAAGGCAGTCTCCTCAACAAATGGTGCTGGGAAAATTTGACAGCCCTGTAGAGAAGAATGAACTGGACCATTCCCTTACACCATACACAAAGATAAACTTGAAATGGATAAAAAACCTCAAGGTGAGGCAGGAATCCATCAGAATCCTAGAGAATATAGGCAGTAACCTCTTCGACATCGGCCGCAGCAACTTCTTTCAAGACATGTCTCCAAAGGCAAAGGAAGCAAAAGCAAAAATGAATTTTGGGGACTTCATCAAGATCAAAAGCTTCTACACCACAAAGGAAATCAGTCAACAAAACAAAGAGGCAACTCACTGAATGGGGGAAGATATTTGCAAATGACAATACAGACAAAGGGGTGATATCCAGGATCTATAAAGAACTCCTCAAACTCAAAAACACACAAAACAGATAATCCTGTCACCTCATCCTTTACTTCAGCCACAACACCCCAAGGGCAGAGCCTCCTGTGGTGAAAACAGAAACTACGCAACTAAAGGTAATGGCCGCCCACAGAGAAGTGCTTGGGCTGGCCCACTTTGAGGCAGAGGGACCAGTGTGGAACCCATGGACTGACCTACAGTTCAAACTTTACTCATTGTAACACTAAAATCTCCACCCACGGAAAACCACAAACCTCATTTACCTAATGTGCAAAGGGATCAGGTCTTAACCCAGGTTATGGGTCTGAGAGTCCATAGAAAAGGACACGCAGTAGCGAAATAAGTCAATCAGAGAAAGACAACTATCATATGATCTCCCTGATATGAGGGAGAGGAGACGCAACATGGGGGTTGGGGTGTAGGAGAAGAGTAAATGAAGCAAGATGGGATTGGGAGGGAGATAAACCATAAGTGACTCTTAATCTCACAAAACAAACTGAGGGTTGCTGTGGGGAGGGGGGTTGGGAAAGGGGGAGTGGGGTTATTATGGACATTGGGGAGGGTATGTGCTATGGTGAGTGCTGTCAAGTATGTAAACCTGGCGATTCACAGACCTGTACCCCTGGGGAAAAAATATATTATATGTTTATAAAAAATAAAATTAAAAAAAATGAAATACAGGATAACGTAAAACTAAAAAAAAAAAGAAAAGAAAAGAAAAGAAAAGGACACACAGTCAATATACAGAGAGGAGGATTCTAAACCAAAGTTCATAGCAGGTGCCAAATGGGACAAGTATGATGGCAGCAAAAAGGTATGCATGCGAAAATGATCTATCTTTTCACACACCAGGCACCACCAATACATTTAGGAAGTAGTTATATACACGTTAAAAGTCATAGAGTAGGGGCGCCTGGGTGGTTCCGTGGGTTAAAGCCTCTGCCTTCGGCTCAGGTCATGGTCCTGGGGTCCTGGGATCGAGCCCCACATCGGGCTCTCTGCTCTGTGGGGAGCCTGCTTCCTCCTCTCTCCCTGCCTGCCTCTCTGCCTACCTGTGGTCTCTCTCTGTCAAATAAATAAATCAAATCTTAAAAAAAAAAAAAGCCATAGAGTAGAAAACTGACACAGTGATTAATTCAAGAACTGTTTTCATTCACATGAGACTTAAAAATCACATTGCGGATAATGCTGCCTCTGTCTTTTATTCCCACTATCAACACAAACACATAGAATGATACAGCTATTATTTATGGGGCAAGTATGATGAGGGATACACGCAGAAAAATGTTTACCTTTAACTCAGAAGGCTGACCCACTGTTCCTAGTTCTGCTAAGAATCAAATATATACACAGCTTGCTACAATCTTCTTTTTTTTTTTTTTTTTAAAGATTTTATTTATTTGACAGAGATCACAACTAGGCAGAGAGGCAGGTTGGGGGCAGGGAGCAGGCTCCCTGCTAAGCAGAGAGCCCAATGCAGGGCTAAAGGCCAGGACCCTGGCATCAGAACCTGAGCTGAAGGCAGAGGCTCTAACCCACTGAGCCACCCAGTGCCCCTGCTTGCTACATTCTTAAAGGGTCTCTTGACTCCCTGTATATCTCACCAATATTAATATGGAATTGAAGGATAGCATCGGAGAAATCTTGCAAAAGTAGTTTTACACATACATTCTCAAAGAAACATTTGTGTTCTAATACTCCGTGCACCTACCCTCCCCACTTGAACACTGAGCATATAACCACCAGCTTCATGCAGCCGACCTGCAGCTCCTTCTGCCCACAGATCCTGTCCCCAGGCTACTTCAATAAACCTCCCCTACAGCGTCTCAAAAATTCTCTCTTGACCACCGTGCTCGAAGATCCCACTACACAGTATGTCATT